AATAGGAAGCTTCTCAAGTAACTTCCACCAACTAGAAAACTTCTAGAAGGTTTTAGAGATTTGCTTCTAGAAGGTTCTAAGGACTATGTCCCTAATAAATATTTACTATAAAAGCTTCTTAAAAGCTTCATAGATAGTGCTTTGACTTTATAGCTGTCTTTAATTGACTTTTTGGATTTGAAACATGATCAACAAGTTGGCCATGTTCTACATATGTTGTTAGCTTGAAGACCAAGTTAACTATATGGCCCATATGTAGAAAAAATTGCCTTGTAAGTGAAGGCATGTGTCCTACAAAGTCAACACATATTGGAGGTCCTATAGAACATCGCCATGTAGCTCCTAGTTAGATAGTATATATAGAGAAAAGAGTGAAGCCTTCTTCACTCTTGTCAACTCATTTCTTGCTTCTAGTCTAGTTTCAAGGGTCTCTAGTTGTCTTGTCTTTTGGCAATAGCCATTCTAGTTTCTTTCTTAATATACATATTGAATTATTTTTATTTTTTCATCTTTTTTTGATAGAAGTCTCACTTGTTTATTTATTTTTATCAAGTTCTTATCCTTGATAATAGAATATTAATTTTTGAATTAAATATAGATATTAAAAATATAATATCATATGTTTTAGATTCACAAATCCACTAGCCATTTTTCAACATCTCATGAATGACATTTTTTATGAGTTTCTTCATGATTTTGTTGTCTGCTATGTAGACAATATTATAATCTACTCTAAGAATAAAGATGAGAAATTTTATATTTATTGTGTATTATAAAAACTTTAAGATGTAAGATATTATGTAAAGATAAAAAAGTGTATATTCTACACTACTCAAGTTGACTTCTTATGTTATATTATTTCCAATAAAAGACTAATAATAGATTTGAAAAAAGTCCAAACTATCATAGATTGAAAGATTTTTAGAATAATAAGAGATATGCAATATTTTTTGAATTTTAACGGTTATTACAAGAGCTTCATCAATAACTATTTTTAAGTTGGAGCTCTATTTATATGTTTGACTTGTAAAGGTAAACTTGAGTGGAGTAAAGTAGCCAAAGCATTATTTGATGTTTTAAAGAAAAAATTTATTTTTTCACTAATTTTATATTATATTGACTTTTTTAAGGTATTTTTTATAAAAATAAATACATCAGACTTTGCCTTGAATGTACTATTGTCACAAATGGAAGCACATGATAAACTCTATTTAATAGCTTTTCATTCTATAAAATTTGTAGCAATAGAGATCAACTAAAAAATTTACAAAAAAAACTACTTGAAATTATGGATTCCTTTTAAGAATGGTGTCATTATCTATAAGATGCTTTCAATCTAATCACCATGTCTACAAATTACAATAACCTAGAATATTTTGTATCAATATAGATATTGAATCATTGCCAAATTTGTTGAAGTATTTTATGATTAAGATTTAATTATACAATCATATTGAATTATAGAAAACAAGAAGGCTTATCAGACACATTTTCTATACATTCTTATCTTGGATCTAAAGAAGGAGATGGAACTTTTCATTAATAAAGAATAATTTTCTTAAAATCAAAGTATTTTCACCTTCGAATAATAAAATAAATATTAATTGTTGATTCAACCTTTTTCAAAAAAATCCAATCAAGTATTTCTTTTAATCTTCTTATTCATGATATCAAGAAAACTTCCTTTAAATCTCATGATACTTCCAAGTTTCAATTCAAAAACAACCTATTCTATTTTGAAGGTCACCTATAGGTTTTAAAAGCAAAAGTATGTTTATGTATTCTTCAAGCACATCACAACTTTCTAGTCGCAAGACATTTAAGATACAATAAGACTTTGAAGCTTATACTTAAAGGTTTTTGATAGCCATAAATGTAAAATACTGTAAAAGACTTTGTACAGTCATGTAACATTTGTTTAAGATCAAAAACTCCTTGTTATCAATTCTTTAAACTTCTCCAACCACTACTTATATTAAAACAACTATAGTCTTTTATTTCTATAGATTTTATTATAGATCTTCAAAGTTCAAGTTCATATGATCTCTACATTTGTGATTATAGATCGCTTCATCAAAATGTCACATTTTGTATTATGTACAAAATTTATTTCAAGTAAAGAAACAACTAAGATTTTCTTTGACAATATCTATTGCTATTATGAATTGTCAGAAGGTATTATATTAGATAGAAGAACACCATTTGTATCAAGATTTTGAAGAACCCTTTTTAAAATATTGAAGGTGGTCATAAAATTATCTTCGCTCTCTCATCATCAAATTGATGGATAAACAAGTGAACCATGTTTTGTAGCAATATTTGAGGTGTACAATCAACTATCTTTAAGATGATTGGACAACTTTGTTAATATTGGCAAAATTTACATACAATAACTTAGTACATTCTTCTATTCAAAAAATACCTTTCTTTGTCATTTATGGTTATTATCCATAATTTGATATTTTTTACTTTTAAAACGTTAATATTTCTCAAGTGGAAGATTTTATAAATCATTTGTTAAAGCTATATGCAACAATAAAGACACGAGTAAAGAAAGCTCGAGAATGACAAAAAATTAATGCAAATGCCTATTGCAAAGAACAATCACAATTCAACATGAATGACAAGCTTTGATTACTTTGTCATAATATCAAAACTAATTGTTCTTGTGACAAGTTAAACTATTATAGGTTTGGACCTTTTTTTATTTGAAAACAGATCAATCTTGTTGCTTATTAATTACGTCTACCAAAGTCTATGAAGATCCATGTCGTATTCTATATGTATCTTCTTGAGCCATATAAAACAATGAATATCTTGAAAAGAAGAAAAATGCCACTTCTTCCTTTTGAAATAGATCATAATCAAGAGTTTGAGGTAGAAAAATTCTTAAATTCAAAGTTGACAGAAATAAGTTAAAATATCTTGGAATATCTTGGTATCACAACCTAAAAAAAGATTCTCAATATTTGGTGATTTTATTAGAGGTAAAAATGACTTTTAATAATATTTCAAATGTTTTATTTGAAAGAAGTTATGAAAGCCTCAACAATAATCAAATAACATGATAGTCTTTCTATCTTAATATGAGACACTATCAATGGCTAAGAAGACCTATTGTTAGGGACATAATCCTTATAACCTTCTAGAGACAAGTTTCTAGAACCTTCTAGAAGCAAGTCTTTAGAACCTTCTAGAAGCAAGTCTTTAGAACCTTCTAGAAGCAAGTCTTTAGAACCTTCTAGAAGCTTCTTAATTGGTAGAAGCTATTAGAGACATAGTCTTTAGAACCTTCTAGAGATAAGTTTCTAGAACCTTCTAGAAGCAAGTCTCTGGAACCTTCTAGAAGCTTCCTAGTTGATAGAAGTTGCTTGAGAAGCTTCTTAAATAGAAGTATATATTGGAATCGAGGCTGAAGAGTTCTTCAGTCTCGACAATACATCTCTTGGAGCTCACCTCTCTGGTATTGTTCTCATTTGATTAATCTAGTTCTTGCCAGTTCTTCCTAAACTTCTTGTTAGATCTCGAGTCTGTATTTCTGTGTCCGTGACACCTATCAACCATCTTTAAAGAAAATAAAGATCAGAGTATATAACATATATAATTTGCCACATCTTGGATTTTCTTAACATATAATAACCGCTTTTTGTAGAATTCATTTCTAGAAAAGAAAATAATGTCATCGATATATATATATATATATATATATATGTACTTTATCAATCATCTACACGATTAAATAGAAGTAAATAAAAGTAAATTAATTTCATAATACCTTCTAAAGAAGCTGCCTAAAAGCTTCATACATCCTATTTTGATTTTACACATGTTTGTAGTTAATTGGTAGATTAAAAACTTACTCAACAAATTAGCCACATGTCATACATGTTGATAGCTTATAGAAAAAGCTAATTATATGCACACATAGAGAACTTGCCTTACAAGATAAGACATATATTTAACAAAGTCAATATATGTTGGGAGGTCCTACAGAACATTATTATGTAGCTCCTAGTTAAAGAGTATATATTGAAGAAAGAGTGAAGCCTTCTTCACTCTTACAAATGCCTTTTAGACTTTAGTCTTGTTTCAAGATTTTCTAGTCTTCTTGTCTTTGATTATAGCCATTCTAGTTCAATATATTACCATCTTTGAGTGACTTTCTAATCTTTTTGAGTGATACAAGAGTATATTGAGTTTTTTTCTTTTAAGATTCATATCCTTGATACTTAAAAAAGTATAATCATTTGTTAATTTTGCAACCATTGGTTGTTTAGTGATTCAAAATTTTATCATTTATTATATTCATAGAATTCTTAAAACAAATCATTACTCAAAATGTTTTATTATTATTTTGTCAAATATTTCATGGATATTTTTAATTTAATATTAAAGAGATTTGTACTTTGTTAGATATAACATGAAAAAGAAAAAACCATATTAAGTATATGTCTATTTACTTGTAAAAGGCTTCAAGTTTTGAGGTCCATTCATTCTATATAAATTTTTGACAAAGAAAATAGTTAAATAGAAACCATTTTTTTACATTGTGCATAATAATTACTACAATTAAAGCATGGTTTTCAATTCGTTGTAATTGACTTATACATGTACAAATATAGTATAAGTGAAAATATTATGGAATGTCTTTATGTAATACATAGTTAAACAAACCCTAATTTATATTGACAAAAGTGGCCAATGCAACATTAATATTTATTATTATCAGGGATTCTCACCAACAGGGCTCACATGGAAAACTTTCCCGCGGAAAATCTTGCCAAAGCAAACGATCTCTGTCCAGAGTCAAGGCCTATCACCACGTGTATTCCTCCACGATACGCCTCTTGGCACCATCCCGGGTTGGAGACATCGGCGAGATTCCGGACCCGCACCCGTCCTCCTCCCATTCGCCACCCACCCCCTCAGTCGGATGCCGCATCTCTTCTCCTGCTCCGACCGCTGGACGCCGCTTGCAGTGAGACCAATGAATCTCACCTCGACTCATAGGGTTAATCTTTTGATCCTCCGTTGTTTGCTTGATTCTTGTCTATGTGTTTTGTTGCATTGTAATTCTCGTGCAGTTGTCGTTCTCCCGCTATCTTAAGCTTGTCAAGATTCTGAAACATTGTTTTGTTTCTGTTCGATTTGCGGACGCTCGGCTTCGGAGCTCGACATTGCGCGCGACCACTGTATGTCAAATGCTTCAGAGCTGCGGGCAGCTGCTTCGGTGTTTAGCTTTGGTCGGTTGTTTGATGGAAGGAAGTCTTAGGGATTGTGCTGCTGCTTAGCGAGAGAGAGAGAGAGAGAGAGAGAGAGAGAGAGGGAGAGAGAGAGTCGGATGTGTTTGGGATCGCATGCACTGGTGGAGTTTGTTTGCGCGAAGCTTTGACCGAGCATCGGGTTGTTTGAGGTGGAGTGGCGGAGTTCGATGGTGTTGAAGCTGGTTGTTGAGGAGAGCAGTTATTGCAGCTCGAGGGTGAAGTTTTTTTAATTGAGTTTTCGTGGAGATTTGGAGGATTGAGCGATGTTGAAATGAGTTGCGTGGAATGTTAAGGTGGATTTGGGATGACACCATCAACGTAGGATTTGGATCGGTTACTAGAGAAATTTGGATTCAGGACTGAGGATGGAGACAGTGCGTGGTAGCTAGAACAGAGTTTCATGAGAAGCTGGAGATGTAACTTTATCGGTGGATTGTAGAGCGTCCCATAGTTATTCGGACTCTGAGAAAGTATATTCCTCTGAAGAAGATGCAGTTCGGAGTTCCTCGGGGATCTTGCACAGCGTAGAAAAATGTATCAGATGGAATATTGAGCAGCGGTTTCTGAAGATGCTGCTGTAGCTGGAGATAGGATATACAGTCTGAGAACAGGGGGTAAACGTGCAGTAGTGAAGCCATGTCTTCTCATGAGAACTCCCATGATGGTTCTCAGGCGTCGTTAAATAGCGGTGTTAAGCCGCGACATCATCGTCAACCATCATGGCCGATTTCAGATTACGTTCAGAAACCTACATTAGCGTTGGTAAGTGTATTGCTTCAAATGCGAAGCGAACCTCTGGCGATGTTTCGAATTTCTCCGATGTTGTGAAGTTTTTCTCGCATCGACGTATTACTTGCGTCAATGACTCTGCCTGCATAGCTTCTGGCAATCGGAGTTTTGTTACTTGATCGTGTTTCACTCTCATACTTGTAGAAGATGATCATTTTGATCAGCTAGCGATTCTCATTCTTTCCTGGCAGCTGGAAGATGATCCTGGAGCTCCGCCCCATCAGGCATGGCGACGTAAACTCAATAGCCATGCGGAAGTATTGAAGGAGTTTCGAGTTACCTTCATGGAGGGTTTTAAAATGGTACCATTTCTGTCAAATTTTGGATAAGTACTCGTGTTGTTTTCGCTGCCATTTGTGTAAGAAAAGGCGACCATTTCTCATGCCTCGACGAATACCTTTCCCTGCAATCCAGAAAAGTAGTATTGCTTATTGATTTTTGTAACACAGACCTTGTCGTTCTTGGTGATTTTCTCCTCTAAACATCTCATGAGGTCTGGTGCAGCTTCGCTTGGGGATGCGGATGTGGACATATGTTCAATCAGAAAAATCCGAGGGTCGGGTAACTCCTTCAACTCTTTTCTCAACCTGTGATGGAAGGAACTTCAGTTACTTCAATGTATTTCCATAGATATTTCACCGCGTAGGTTATCTTGGTTGTCTGTAGTGTTGAAAAGAAGTAAATGTAGGATCTAAACTCAACTATTGTTCGAGAGGTTAACACTGGGGTTTTCGAATGCAGCTTCCGCCGATAGACCCTTTTCGACGAGAGACCAAGCCCTCAGCTTGCCATGGTGTACCGTGTGGCGGAATGGGGTGAGTTTGGCCGGGGTTTTATTTGGGATCCTATTTCAAGCATGTGCATTGACTACACTACGTGGATTGAATTTTTTAGCCCCCAAGCTGATAGCATTGTATGAAAATATGAAGTGCGGTCCTATACATATTTTTATATTACTCGCGCACTGAAATTCGTTGAATAAACCGTGTGAGCCTGCAGTGGTGGAAGCATTGGTCGTGGATTTCGTGGAGAGTTCAGGCGATGGCAAATAGTCCCGGGTGTTTGCGACGAGGCTCCCGTGCTAGCTAACCAGTTCTCGGTACATGTTTCGCTCGTTAAAAGTTCAAGACGCACATGCTTGTTTGAGGAAAAATAGTTGGCTTTTCTTAGTAGAGGATTTGTTTTTGCTGTCTTCAGTGGTCGATCCTGGTTTAAAAACGCTCATCATTAGTTTTTGTGTCGTCTCAGGTTATAATATCCAGATTTAAGTGTATTCTGACCGAAAGTGTTAATCTTTGTCTTCATTACAGAAATGCTTGTAGTTTTCGATTTTTAAGCAGGAAGTTCTCTTCTGTGGGAGCAGGTGTTCGTTAGGAGACGTAAAGAGAGTGGAGGTGAAAAGGCAGTCTCTTCCGTCCTTTACCCAGGAAGGCCTCGTGAGCTCAAAGGGTGAGGTCATAAAGTCTGTGGCGAGTATTTGACTCAATTCAATGTTGGCAGCTTTGTGCCTGGCATTGAATTTTACAAACAAGATTTGAGGAAAATGTAGCACAAGAGAAGGTTTAATTGTTTTTTCGTGGAGGTCTTCTTATTGATGTACCAAAAAGTTGTTGAAGTGACGAGCTCGTGTTTAACCGCCTCTTAATTGGTAATTTTACATTGATGTACACAGGCTTAAAAACGATGAAAATGGAATATCATCATGGGATTGGAAACTCGATGGTCAAAACACCACATATCATGCTCTCTTTCCTCGAGCCTGGACAATTTATGAAGGTAGGTATACATGAGAAAATAAGTTTTCTTTCTACTAGAGTTTCTGGCGTTTTTCTTCAAACTTCTTTGACCTATATGATTTTTTTCGAAAGTAGTCATGTTATATATATATATATATATATTAATCTTCTTGGATTGAACTGACCCTTTTAACTAATTTCGTCATGCAGGTGAACCCGATCCTGCATTGAAAATTTCTTGCCGGCAAATTTCTCCTTTCATTCCTCACAACTACAAAGAAAGCAGCTATCCCGCATGTGTATTCTCCTACGTGGTTAGTTGCTATTTTACTTCTTCGAATGTACATGTTTGTACTTTGATCCAGATCGACGTTGTTTGCTATTACTGTTGTAGCTCAAACATTTGTGTTTGTCTTGCAGGCTGTCAACACTGGAAAAGAGGTCGCAGATGTTAACCTTCTCTTTACATGGGCGGTAAGAAACCTCCGAGTTAATGCATAATCCTTAGACCCTGAAGGAACCAGGTAGCTCATTAGCTTTGACAGAGTTATTCGTTAATTGTACCCAAAAATCACAGAACTTTTTATAAATAGATAAGATTTTTGGCGTGGTATTTCGAGTCATTTCATACTGAAAGAGTCCTTTTCTGTATGTAACTATTCTCTTTGTATTCCGATGTCATGTTGGTAGCACATAATTGAATGGGTTTGTAAAATAAAGAATTGTAATGTTTTGATATCTGTAATGCTGCCATGTGTGACCACTGCACATCGCCATAAATAATGACAACATTTCTAAATTTTGTGTGAGTGATATCGTTTAAGCTATAAATTATGTTGCTCTACTAATAAATCTAGATGTACTTGTGACCATTAATGCGATGATGTGTTGGTTTGTGTGTAGAATTCTATTGGAAGTACTACTGGTTCAACAGGGGGTCATATCAACGAGACTTTCACGTAAGTAGAATGATATGTCAAGGGGTATACCATTCTTGAAACCTGTTCAGTGTGTGATGTGTCTTCTGTTTTGATAGTATTAAAATGTATGGTTTTGCACTTAGCAATCGTCGTGGATACGAAAGGATTGCTGTGTGGTACGTACAAGAGATGAAGTCATTGTTCTCTTTGTTTTACCAGACGATCTGATGAACTCGAATATACAATGTAGACTTTACCTGAGTTACATCTACTAGATTTCGATGACAAAGATTCCGGAATCTTTCCAGTTAATATAGCACTTTTAAGGATTATATAGTAAGTCCTTAAATGCACCAACATAACTTACGTTTAACTTTTAGAATTTGATTGATTGCTTCTAACAGCTTTTGTTCTGCTGGGGATGTAGAGAGCGTGATGGAGTACGTGGTGTAGTTCTTAATCACAAGTAAGTCGACATCCTCTAGGTTTCAAACCATGCATTTTGTTATAACCATGCATTTTGTTATAACCATGCATTTCAATAAAATAAATTGAAATGGAAACTAAGAAACATACTTTCGAATTACGTACATAGCAGTGCTTGCATGTTTTTCCTTAATTGAAAGGATGTAATTTCACAATGACCGTGACTGCATTTATTGTTTATATATGATTTTTTTAACAGTTCCTTTAGCAATCAATTAAGATTCGTGCATCACATTTCTTCGCTTAAGAATGGCTAGATTATTAAATAAACTTTAATTCTAATGCCAGAGCCAATTTTAAATTTGACAGGACATCTGTAAAAGGAGGTCAACCACTCACATTTGCAATCGCTGCTAAGCAGAGTCCAGATGTTTCCTTGTCTGCGTGCCCATGTTTTCAAGTTTCAGGTGAAGGTCAGAGCATTACAGCAAAAGATCTGTGGGGTAGAATGAAAGAAGTAAGTTTCACACTTATGCATGGTCAATGTAGTTCAACAGTAAGAAATGACCAAGTTGAAATGAAGTTGTGTACGATTTTAGATTTCACATGGTTTGCATGATTGAAGTAATATGTGACGGTGTATTACTTCAGTGATTTACTTCGATTACGATTCTTAATATTTTGTCTAAAAGGCTATTGACATTTATTCTGTTCCTTTTCTTGCAGCATGGACGCCTAGAGGTGGATGACTGGAATACTATCAATACCTCATTACCATCAAAGCCAGGTTCTGTTATTGGTGCAGCTATAGCTGCTCATGTAGTTATTCCGCCTAATGAGAAGCGAACGATTGATTTTGTGTTGGCATGGGACTCTCCTACTGTGAAGTTCTTGAAAGGAAGATCTTATCTTCGGTAAGCATGGTTGAATAGATTTATTTCTGTTATTTTGGCATTCAAGAAAGCGGGTTAATTAGCTTAGAAAGTGATAAATAGTTTCTACAGCTAAGGTAAAAAGTTGATGTCCGCAGGCGTTATACGACATTTTATGATGCTGATGGAAATGCAGCGCCCAGAATCGCTCATAATGCTCTTTGTGGTAAGCGCTCACTTAATGTTACACACTATGACATTTAACTATTAAATGATAAGTTGAGTAGTAAGCTGAACCTTTAGTGGTAGGGAGATGTAAGTACCTACTTTTCTGCAGTTTGGCTATGCTATCATCTTGGTCCATGATTTTTCGTTTATTTTCGTTTTAGGTATGCAATATTTTTTCTATTTTCTCATTTCTTTTTCCTCCTCTTCTTTTGACTACTTTTTTCATTTTTTGTTGTTATTGGAGGCGGGTCTGTTATAGACTGTGTTGAACTTTCCTCTAGTGCCTGGGTTGTTATTGGGCATCTACCTCAACCTTCGTTCGTCTTTCTATGTTCATGAAATAGTAATCCCTTATCAGATAGTTGTCTTCAAAAAGTTTTCAAGTCATGGAAACTACGAGTTTTATTTTAGTTTGTTTTGTTTTGGTTGTTTTGGTTATAGTCTGGTTTTTATTTTGCTGATTTTTTAAAACAAACCTCCATTTTCTTTAGCACATAACGCACTTCAACGCATTTCGTGTCTCAGGTTATCGTTTGTGGGAGGAGGAAATTGAAAAATGGCAGCGCCCTATCCTAGAGGATGAAAAGCTACCGGAATGGTGAGTTTATAGCGTGTAACAAAAGGCGTTAGTCATTCTCAGGACAATATGCATATCTTAACTGAACGGAAATCATCTTAACCAGAGCTAAACTACGCTAATGTAGTCTTAGAGAACTAGTTACCAGTATTGTTCATGGTTTAATAATTGCTTTGATTTTAGAAGGTGCTACATTTGGACGTTAATTTACGTTTTCAACAGGTATCGAGTGACATTATTCAACGAGCTATACTATCTTGTCGCAGGAGGAACTGTTTGGACTGGTCAGCTTCTTGCTGCTATCGCGTTTCTTGTTAAGCAAGCTATATAATAAATTGAATGGTGGTACAAAATGTATCAAAATTTGTTTCCCTAGGCTAGTTTCAAGTTTTTAAGGTGTTCAATATTGAGCGATCTCCTTCTTAATTTGAAACAGTGTTTTAAAAAGCTAACTGTCAGGGAACAACCTTACAGATGGTGGACCTCCAAGCGAAGGCAAGTCGGAGCTATCTGCAGCCAGCTCTGCAAATACTTCGGCCCCTGGTTCTCCTCTCCATGGTGATTTATCGTTAGGTGGTAAGGTTGTTCCTTTTTCGACACGTCGAGATATTGATTTAGCTGCTCTTAGACGTGACTGTAAAGACGGAGATGTGGTTGCTGCTCTTGAAGGGAGCAACAAGTCATCATTTAACAGTAGTTTAGAACGAACTGCAGCGTCCGAAGTTAATGCACCAGCATCAGCTGAGCCACCCGCTCTTCCTACTCCTGTTCAGCACCAGCAGTTTGAGGTAGAGAATAAAGGAACCCGGAATTCTAGTTTATCCATGGACCCGACAGAGCAAGATATTTCTGATAAACTGGTTGCTGAATTTCAACACGTTCAGGGGTTTCCTTTGAATGGAACAACAATCTATGACAATGATTCCGACACTCAAAGCGATGGTATGGAATCCATCTCAGAAAATCATACTCTAGAGTCATCCCTTCCACGCAAAGAAGAACTTGCTTTGCAGGACACAGCTGAGACTAAGATACTGAAAGCTATGCAGGAATCAATGGGTGATTTTCGACGCACATCTTTAGGACTTCCTTCCGGTTTGGCATTGCTGCAAGCAGAAGAAGAGAATGTTGGTCAATTCCTTTACTTGGAGGGTATAGAGTATATTATGTGGAACACTTATGATGTTCACTTTTATGCATCATTTGCACTTTTGTCGCTTTTTCCTAAGTTGGAATTAGCAATTCAAAGAGATTTCGCGGCAGGCTGTCTTGCTCATGATCCTAGGAGGACGAAATTTATGGCTGGTGGGAAAAAAGGTATAAAGAAAGTTTTTGGATCAGTGCCACATGATTTGGGACAACATGATCCATGGGCGGAGGTCAATGCTTACAACATACATGATACAAGCAGATGGAAGGATCTGAACGCTAAGTTTGTTTTGCAGGTTAGTACACTTGCTTGAGCTGTTTCTTCTTAAGTTTTTAATGACACTCATTTTAGATTTGATCTTTAATGAATCTCACTGAGAATGTGCCTTTGAGTTTGATAATTCAATTAGACACAGGGATCAAGAGCTATTTAACTATCATGAACCTGAAAGACCATTTTACGTATCGCTTTTTCTCTGCACACAGGTATATAGAGACGTAGTTGCAACTGGCGACAAAGTTTTTGCTAAAGCAGTCTGGCCCGCTGTCTATGCTGCCATGGCATACCTCGACCAATTCGATCGTGACCGAGATGGACTTATTGAGAACGATGGCTTTCCTGATCAAACCTATGATACATGGACTGTGCATGGTGTGAGTGCATACTGTGGGGGGCTCTGGATTGCTGCTCTACAAGCTGCTGAAGCCATGGCTGTCTTGCTTGAAGAGAAGAATGCTGCTCGATATTTCCAGTCAAAGTTTATTCAAGCAAGAGAAGCTTATCTTAAAAAATTATGGAACGGGTCCTATTTTAGTTATGACAGTGGCAACAGTTCTAACAGCAAATCAATTCAGGTGAGTAAAACTTGTATTTTGTCTGAGTCACTGTTATGTCAACAGTTCACGTTGTTGGACCAGTTTATGAAAGGGTTTTATTCGAAAGGTGTAGTAGGATAAGAGCAGAAGGATGTTAAGGTGGACGTCAAGAGTAAAACGATGCAAAATTGTTATCTCGAGGCTCACGAGTTTGCAATTGAACTTAACATCGTCAGATCACAAATATTTTTGCATACGTCTCAAATTCCTTCAGTAGCTGGTCACTTCCTATGTCTTGGCATGATCGCAGTTATCATTTGGTTTGCATTGTGATTTCCTTCTTCGTTTCGCAAGTTTTTACAAATTTTTAATGTGAGTTTGAACGAGTGAAACTAATTCCATCATCTGAATTCTTTTTGTTCAGTGGAATCCTTTCGTCTTCTCTCCTTGTCTGCACGGACTGAGTATTTAATAGTCTAAATGTTGCAACTAGGGAATTTTGTACATTTTAAATGTGTTTGTTCATATCAATGCTGTGTGCAGGCTGACCAAATGGCAGGTCAGTGGTACGCATGGGCTTCAGGTCTTCCGCCTCTATTTGATGATGCGAAAGCACGTAGCGCCTTGCAAAAAATCTTTGATTTTAACGTCATGAAAGTGAAAAATGGACACCTTGGGGCTGTTAATGGGATGCACCCAAATGGCAAGGTAGACGAAACCTGTATGCAGTCTCGCGAAGTTTGGACGGGTGTGACGTACGCATTAGCTGCTGCTATGATTCATGAGGGAATGCTTGACCAAGCATTCCGTGCAGCTGAGGGTGTCTTCATCGCTGGCTGGTCTGACCTTGGGTATGCAATTACTTACCATTGTTATTTGGGGTTTATCTTGACCTACATTGGCATTTATTGGTTTTCATTAGCACACGTATTTGCATTTTTGCTAATCATGACTTCCTAGTAAAAAAGGGCTTGCAATCAGTTCCTTTGGTCGTTTTCCAGAAATCCCAATCCATCATCTTTATCCTCTATTTCGCTTCCAAGTGTAGAGTAGGTTCTGTGTGTCTGCTAGTCACTTTTGACGCCGCTTTCCCTTTCCGCACCGTATAGAGGATTCTATTCTGTAGCTTGTGTTATGCCGTGAGCCATGTCTCCTCATTTGCGTCCTCCTCTTTCTGCCTCTGTTGCAGGTATTGGTTTCAAACTCCGGAGGCATGGACAATGGATGGATATTTTCGCTCTTTGGCGTATATGCGGCCTTTGGCTATCTGGGCGATGCAGTGGGCAATTGATCCGCCTGAGACTATTGCAAACGCTCCTCGTATTCCTACTGTTGATCGACTTCCTTCTGAGTGTGATACTTCTGGATTTTCGTCAATGCAATCCACTCTTCGCAATCCTCTGCCGCAACTAAGGCCATTCCGAAGAGCCTACAACTTTCTTCGTGGCAAAGGGAAACCTAATTCCAAGGCTTCACAATAAATGTAGATTTTTTTTAATTTCTCCTTCGGTAATTTATCCTTACCTGGTGCAGAAGCAGCCATTATTATGGTGCAGCTCCTATTGCCAGCGAGGTCTATATGAAGAGTGAGCCAGGTATTATTTGTCCTTGTACTGTCCAGTAGAGCGCTAAGCCTTTACTTGATATTACATGAAAGCTGATGATCCTCAGATACTTTATTAGTTGTTTCTGCTCATAAAAAGCTTGAAGCTAGTGTTTTGAGAATCTTGTGCATCTGTTCATGCACTTGATTCAGTCCAGAAAAATCCTGGTTGGGCAAAAGTAGTGATTGTTCTGCATGTATTAACATCAAACAGGCTAGTTAGTGTCCTTGAATAATTGGTTTGAAATGATTTGGAACGATTGATATTACTCGTAGTGAAATATATGTTTTATAGTGAACAGAAACGACAAGTAAAGAGGTTGGCCTGCGAATGTATTGCATGCTGCCCTCTGTATTCTGCTGTAAATTTTAACATCTCTCGTTGCAACTCTTTTCTGTTAAAATAACAGTCTATTTCCACCTTGTGACTTTTTTTTTTTTTTTTTTTTTTTTTTTTAGGACATTTGTAGGCCTTTAAGATAGGAAAAGTAGCTTAATTCAGTATTTATTTGTTCTCAACTAATTATAATATGTTTTAAACTTGTAGTCTTAACATCATTTAATAAACTTGTAGACAACATGTTATTGAGTTTTAAATGCAAGGTTGCTCCTTTTGTATAGCTCCATTATATACAAAAACTAAAGTCTTTTCCATTAATGTTTTTTATTAATACAAATTTAAATCACATGTTACATAATATAGAACAAGTTGGACAATGTCCTACAATAGAAAGATATGTCCGTAGATTTCAAAAAAATTATTCATATTAATGTGTAAATATTGTACAATATTGTCATTTCTTCTTTTTGTAGTTTTTTTTTAAAGCAAATCATTACATATTTCAAAAGCAGTAATTATTACAATTATCTATCCTTGATTCTAAATTCAACAATAGAAATATTGGTGTTTTGTTGATTTTGTGTATATAACAATCTTTTATAAAAAAAAAATGTGATTAAATGAAGTTCTTGTCCTATATACAAATACATTGGAAGTATATAATGCACATAAAAGGTTAATAAGGTTCTAAAATTATCATAAGTTCATTTTTGAGCCTTTATTACATCATTTAATAACAACATTTGATATTTTAGATGGCACTTATAAATGCATCATGTAGTCATTTATTTCAACTATTTAAACTAAAATATTAAATAAATTAACAATTATAATTTTTTTGAAATGCTATTTAATATTTATGTATTTTAATTTTAAACTAAAATATTAAATAATCTATTTTATTATTAAAAAACTAAAATTTAATATCTCATTTAATTTTTTTGAAACCATTGATAATTGTCTACCAAAAAAACTACTATTTATTATAGATATATATATGTATTCTAAGAAGTACCTATATGATTAGATAGAAACTTGGTCAACAAGTTAATCACATGTTGATAGCTTGTAGGATAAGCTAACTATGTGGCACACATATAAAAAACTTGCCTTGCAAGTTAAGATATATGTCTTACAAAGTCAACACATTTTGGAGGTCCTATAGGATATTGCCTTGTAGCTCCTAGTTAAGAGTATATATAGACTGATGAGAGAAGTCTTCTTCACTCCTGTTAATTCTTTTTTAGTCCTTAATCTTCTTTTAAGACTTTCTAGTCTGCTTATTTTTGGCAATAGCTATTTTAATTTAATATTATATTATCTTTGAATGACTTTCTAGTTTTTATTAGTAACCTAAGAGTATATTGAGGATTTCTTTCTTCAAGATTCATGTCCTTGATAGTTTGACAAGTATATTAATTTATTATTTTTGTCTTGTTTTAGAAGTGAGTGGATTACTTCACTTCTATTGTTGTGTTTTGAAGATTGCGGACTACCCACCTTTAAATAAAAAATCTTGTTTTCTAATACCAAAATTTTCCTAAAAGAGAGTGGATTATCCCTCTTTGTAAAATATTTCATTTCATATAAAAGGTTGCGGATTATCTTATTCTAATTTAATTTTTTAAATTTGTTTGAATTGTCTATAGAAGAAAAGATTATGAATGCTACTCTGAGTGAATGTGAGAATAGATTTGCAACTATTGCAGAACTTTATGAGCTTGTCAACACTCTAAGTGTTGTAATCTCATGTATTTTTAAGAAGAATCATGGAGGTACAATTTCTATGCCTATGGAAGAAGTTTACAATCTACAGCAAGAAATTGTGTAATTGAAGGAAGTAAGTAGATTGACCTTACAACAAGTCAAGCTCTATCTAAGGTTGCATCTTTTCCAATCCTTTGATGGACTTATTTAAGTCAGATTCGTAGGTGCACTTCTATCAAGAAGTGTTCTCTTTTGATTTATTTTTTTAATGAAAAAATATTCGCGATTCTTTTATGATTTGAATTCATTCCTAGAAGTGTTTATAGCCTCACTCAAAGAAAGTGATTGAGAAAGAGTAGTAGATACCAAGTTCTTATCTTTACAAGAAGAATCACAATTAGCCAACATATATGCTACTAAATTCCAAAACCTTGCTGGTGACGTGGATTGGAATGACAAAGCCTTTATCAATAAATTTTGATATGGGTTGAAGGATAATATCAAAGATTTGTTATTGACAATATCAAAGGTAGAAACTTTAGAATAATTTATTGCTCAAGCCATTACATGTGATAATCAAATATTTGAAAGACATCAAGAATAAAGACTTTGTTGGAGTAAAATAAGTCAAATAATGTCAACAGCTCTCAAGTTTTAAGAAACTTATTCATTAAGGCCAAAACTATTCCAAATTTATATAATATGTTTTAAATTCCTCACGAAGTAGAAAAATACTTGATGATGTTAAGAAGGCTTATGCTTATATTATGGAGAAGCTAAATACATTATTCAATATTGTCTAAAGAAACAATAAAATCACAAAATGAGAAGCATAGTTGCTAAAGAAGACTATGTATTGGAAAACGAGTTTTTCTAACTACGATAGGGATCTTGGGCTAAAATTTGCATAATTCCTAATAAAGGTCTTATTCTCTCTTCAGATCTTTCATCTTTTTTTACAATAGAAGTTTATTTTAGATCAAAAAATCACAAAGTCTTAGCTTTGTTAGATTCAAGAGCTTCAACCTATTTTATAGACAAAGATTTTTTCAAAAAACAAGAGATATTGTTAGTCAAGAAAACTAAACCTATACATGTAGAAGTCATAGATGGTTGTTTGTTATCTTTTGGAAATGTTATACATGAGACTATTTCTTTAGATATAGCAATTAAAGATCATAATAGTATAGTAATATTTAATGTAATAAGATTGCATTCCAATTTGATTATTTTAGAATTATCTTGGTTAGAAAAATATAATCCTCAATTTTTCTCGTGACCTTAATTTTTTTTGTAGTTTAATTTAAAATTTCATTAGTCAAATAGAAATACATAAGTCTAGTACATCCAAATCCTTACTTGTAGCTACAAGAACTTTCATGCATGTCACAAAAGAAGGATCATCTTTTACTATATTTGCTATATTTGCTATGCCCATTTCTGATGGTAGAAAGACATCAAGCAATATTCCTAGCCATTATTAAAATTTCCAAGTCTTTTTTGAAAAAAAAAATATAAATATTCTTTCAAAGCATTGTCCTTATGATTATTCCATTAATCTTCATGAAGGAGCTAAATCGCCATTTGGAGCAATGTATAGCCTATCACAAAATAAATTGGCTCCATTAAAGGATTATATTGATGAAAACTTAGCTAAGAATTTTATACACCATTTTAAATCTCTAGCTAGGGCTCCTATCTTATTTGTAAAGAAAAAAATTGATCTCTATAAATGTGTGTGAACTATTAAGGATTGAATAAAATTACCATCAACAATAAGTATCATCTATCTTTAATTTTAAGACTTTTTGATCAACTCAATCAAACAAAGATCTATACAAAAATAGATCTATATGGAGCATATAATTTGGTATGCATTAAAGAAGGGGATGAATAAAAAATTACATTTCAAACCAAGTATGGATATTTTGAATGTAATGTCATACCTTTTGGATTCACAAATACACTAGTTACTTTTTAACATTTAATGAATATTATCTTTTATAAGTTTTTTGATGATTTTTTTTATTTATATGATATCTTAATCTATTTATAGAATAAGAAAAAATATGAAATTTAAGTTCGTCATGTATTACAAAAACTTAGAGATGTAGAATTATATGTTAAATCAAAAAAATGTGTATTCTACACTACTCAAGTTGACTTCCTAGGATACATTATTTTCAACATAGGACTAATGATGGATTCAAAGAAAGTCCAAACTATCATGGATTGAAAGATTCTAAGAACAACAAGATACATGTAATATTTTTTGGACTTTACCAATTATTATCAGATCTTCATCAAGAATTTTTTTCAAGTTGCAACCCTACTTACTGTCAAGGATATGAACTGGAAGAAGATGCATAAACTTGAAAAATATGTGTTAAAAGAAAAGTGACAAAATAGAAATAAAATAATATGTATATTAAAAGAAAAATAAAATGGCTATTATCAAAAGAGAAAGAAACAAGAGACTCTTGAATCTCGACTAGAAGCAAGAAAGAAATTGACAAGACTGAAGAAGGCTTCATTCTTACTTCTATATATACTATCTATCTAAGATCTATGTGGCGACATTCTATAGAACCTCCAAAAATGTGTTGACTTTATAATATACATATATTGACTTGTGATGTAAGTTTTTTATATGGTCGTTATATAATTAGCTTGTTCTACAATCTATCAATACGTATATCACATAAATAGCTTGTTGACCAAGTTTCTAACTTACCAATCAACTACAATCATATGTAAAATAAAAATAATATCTAGGAAGCTTTTAGGAAGCTTTTCTACAAGGTATTATAAAATTAATCTACTTTTATCCATATATATATATATATATCTCTATGACATTATCCTCCTTTTTAAGGACGAGTTCTACAAGGAACAATGATCATATATTGAAGAAGTTTAAGATGTAATAAATTGTATTTTCCACGTGTTTTGATCTTTACTTCCTTTGAAGGTAGTTAATAGGTCATCTCAACCATTGCTAATGTCCCATTCTAGGACAGAACGACCACCTTGTAATTTGATCATTCTTAAAATCTTTGTAATTTTTTTCAAACAAAACATTCATAATACCATCAAAAGCTATGCCTACGTCAAATAAAATTACCAAATATTGAGAGTCTTTTCTCAAGTCATGATACCAAATGCATTATATCTTACCATCTATTCAAGGAAGAATATATCATTCATGAAGATCTTCATCCCTATTATATTATCTTGAAGGTTGTGATAATTGCAATGTCTTATTTGATAAGGTGGCAAATGATGGTTCTTGAATTGAATTTCCTGATTGTTGGTCTTCTATCTCCATGATGCCACAATTATATAAAAAACTACAAACAAAGATGAAGATAGT